CGCCGCGCACGCGCAGACTCACCGCCCAGGGAAAGGCGAGCGTCGGCTCCCCGCTGTGTCCCGGGCAGTGGTTCTTGTCCCCCACCTCAGCGCCAAGCACTGTTCCGTCAAGATCCTGCAAAGTCCACACTTAGACCCTCCCATACACAACTCCATAACACACTGAGGTTCCATTTTACCCAAGTCAGAATGGCTATCACGAAGGAAACAAATGACAACAAATGCTGGAGAGAACCCTCACACACTGCTGGAGAGAACCCTCATACACTGCTGGAGAAAACCCTCACTCACTGCTGGAGAGAACCCTCACACACTGCTGGAGAGAACCCTCACACACTGCTGGAGAGAACCCTCACACACTGCTGGAGAGAACCCTCACTCACTGCTGGAGAGAACCCTCACACACTGCTGGAGAGAACCCTCATACACTGCTGGAGAGAACCCTCAGCACTGCTGGAGAAAACCCTCAAAAACTGCTCTAGAACCCTCATACACTGCTGGAGAGAATGCTCACACACTGCTGGTAGGAATGTAGCCTGATCGTGATTATTAGTGTTAACTGTCAACGTGACCGAATCTAGAGATTGAAGATGAACCTCTGGCCCTGTCTGTGGGAGATTGTCTTGACAAGGTTACTTAAGCAGGAAGCTCCAGTCACTGTGGGTGACACCATTCCCAGGGCTGCTACCCTGGATGTATAAAATGAAGAGATCAAGCTGAGCACTAGCAAGCATGCTTGTACTAACTGTTCTGTCCTTGATTGAGACTGTGATAGAACTAACTCCCCCACTCCTGCCACAGTGAGTTCCCCAATATGATGGACTGTCATCTGGAACTGTAAACCAAAATAAGCCTTTTCCCCCTTAACTTGCTTTTGCCAGAATATTTTTATCACAGTAATGACAAAACAAAAAACATAAACAAACACACAAAAAACCTACAATACGGGGCTGGAGGGATGGCTCAGAGGTTAAGAGCACTGACTGTTCTTCCAGGGGTCCTGAGTTCAATTCCCAGCAACCACATGGTGGCTTACAACCATCTGTAATGAGATCTGGTAGCCTCCTCTGGCCTGTAGACATGCAGGCAGAACATTGTATGCATAATAAATAAATAAATCTTTAAAAAAAAAC